CAAGGAACTTTGCAGAAAAAGAAGAATCTAAATGAGTATGAAACTTAATTATCTAGAGTCTAAAAATATTCAGACGAAAAGAGAGTTTTAGAATTTGTCTGAAAATGCAAAAAAAGTACAATGTACATATCATTTAGTATTGTGGTAGAGCAGAAATGTTATAATGAATGAGACACAATTATCCAGAGTGTTGTATGTAACTTTATTATTTCATCAAGTGCAGTTTGATCATTCTATAGACAAAGAACCTGAGTCCTAAAGAGACTGCCTTGTACATGGTTGGAAAGCTGTCAAGAACAGACCCAAGGTGAAGGATCTTTAGACCTATGCCCAATGTAGAATCTTTTCTAACTTACATGCTTCCCAAACCCATCAAGTTTAAGTCAACACAGTTGGACTCAACCTCCAAAATTCTAGAAAATGCTAAGGATAATGAGACTTTCTTGAAGATTTTTGCTATAGTCAGCCAACAGAAATTGCTTGAAATTGCTGAAGGAGTCACGTGGAAGCATTTGTTTACACCAGAGATTTCAGCCCTTGTATTGGTTGGGGAGTTGCTCAGGCAGGACTTTTGGAAAGACTGGGAAGAAAGTAGGAGAGGTTTATTCAATAGGTGATGATTTAGAAAAAGGAAACCAAGGAACCTTGTCTCTCTTTCCTCAAACTTCCAGAACCTAACATACAGTGGATGTTTACATGGCCTCTTCAGAATCACTGAAGCCTATTTGGGGGCAGAGTACTAATTGGCAAAGCATGGAGACAGCAGGCTGATCCATCCTAGAGGAATTGGATGAGGGCCTCTTTGAAAGAAGTGGAAGTGTACTACTTGACTTGTGCACCTATTAGACCTGTGTACAGGGGCTCAGTGTTAGAGCACTTGCCTGGCATGTGTGAGGCCCTGGGTTTGATCCTCAGCACCTCATATAAATAAATAAATAAATGAAATGAAAGATCCATTTACAACTAAAAATTATTAAAAAAAAAACACTTGGCATAATAACAGATTGATCCTCCAAGGTTTCTCTGCCTAGAAAAAAAAAGCCATTAAATACATCAGTTAATTCAATGTATTTTTTCTAAATATACTTAGAATGCTTTGTAAATAAGATATATTTCAAATTTATACCCTTAAATATTGGAGTATCTTTGTCCCCATTCTTTATTGAATTTGCCTATTTTCATAGCTTTAGACCGTTTCTATTCTAATATATATTTTCCTACCATTTTAAAAATTCCTTAATTTTCTATTCAAGTTCTCTGCCCTCTAGATTTTAAAGAACTTATTATTTTGGGAAGGGTGGAGAGGGAATGCTGAAGTGCGTTTCTTGGGTCATATTTTTCTAAGGTAAGCATTCCTTCCTCACAGCATTCCATTCTGTCTCTGGATGTGTTGGGTGTGTGTGTCTAATGTATGAAGGCTGAGATATGTTAGTTTTTGAAAAACGATGGTATATATTTATGGTTTTACATTCTGTATTTTTGTTTTCTAGATGTCAGCAAAGTCTGTCCTGCCTCTCTTGAGATTAGGCAAAATTAGCAGGGACTACCCAATTGCCTTTGCCAATGGATTTCCAAAATGTTCCCCCAGATTTCTACAAATTTCTGGGGAGGGTACAACATGAAGTTTGTGTTGTCAAGGCCTCTCCTGCTTCCTGGGTGACATTTTCCCTGCTTACCACTTTGGCTCCATTTATATTCCTTATAACTCTGGCCATTATAGGAATTAAGGAGACCAACCAACCAACCAACAGAAACAAAATGAAATCAAACCAACAAAATAAACTCACCCCTATATCTAAAAATAAAAATGAACAGAGAAGATACTATGGTTTTAATGTATCCCTCAAAAGTTCATGTGTTGAAAACTCAATCTCAAAACTCACGTGCTAACTTGAAAATAGGAACTTTGGGAAGTTGTTAGGGTTAAATGAGATCATGAGGGTGAGGGCCCAAGGAGTGCTTTAGTGGTTTTATAAAAAAAGAAAGAAGAGATCTGAGTTGATACAATTGCTCTGTCTCACTGTGTGATGCCGTCTGTCATGTCACGAGGCAGCAAGAAGGAACTCACCAGATGGTGAGGAGGTGCCAGTGACTTCTCGGTCTCCAGAACTATGACCTAAATAAACATCTTTTTTCTTTATAAATTTCTAAGTCTCAGATATTTTGTTGTAGCAACAGAAAATGGATTTCTTAGACGTTTCTGAAGTTTTGGTGAGGAGAAAGGGGTAATAAATGGGTGTATAAAATAGAAACACAAGCAACCCCAAGTCGCAGAGAGGGCTTCACTATTCTTAAAATGTGCTTAAGCCACACTGTCCCCATATAATTTCACTAATCTCCATCCTAGTACAAACATTTTGCCATTGTCTGGTCTCTTTTCTTTCCCTTTTTTTGTAAAGAGCAAAAACTAAAAATTTGCCTCTTTATTTTATGCAGAACATCTTTCTCTTTTCTCTGATATGTTTGCATTAACCTAGGGAGGCCTATGGAGGTTTTTGTCTTCCTTAAATAAAGACAATTTTCTATTCAAGTCCTGTTCAGGCAGCTTCATCCTAATGAATATTACTTATTATGTTAATTTCATGTTCAGTCCACATAAGGACTATCTCACATATGAAGATGTACACTGTACATGTAGGTACAGAATAGCAGAAATCACTTGTGTATGAGTTCTTTTGGACTCAGAGTTGTTCCTCTGATTATCTGGTAGGTGTTCTTCAAGGTCTGTCTGTCTTCTTTCTATAAACCCCCACCAGAAATAGCATAGGCCCCTTGAGGTGTCTGGGAAGCTGGGAAAACCCTCTCTTCTAGTTCAGGGTACTAGATCTATATTTTTTTGTTGTTGTTGTTTGTTTGTTTGTTTTAACAAGAGACAATCACAGTCATTTGAAAGACTCCAAGATTGAATTCCAGTACACAGCTGCATTTTCTCTAGGTCTTGAAAGCAGAAACAGGGCAAGAGAGAACAGTGAGGACGTGGGGATGGGAAACCCCAGGACACTGGTAGGGTGTGATGAGTGAGCCAGGACTTAGATACATGAAGGGATATGGCTACAGAGGTAGGTTGAGGAGAACTTTGGTTCAGTTAAATTGTCTTCCATGGACAAAGGAGAGTTCAGTGAAGATCTTTGACCAGGGCAATGGCATTCATAGTTATGGCTTATCAATTCTAATCCAACACTGGTGCTCAAATGGTGTAAGCAGAATCACAGCTCTAAGTGGGAGAAGTAGTAAAGGCAAATATAGCAGTTTGGTTTGGATTTCCTGTGCCTTGCTCCCCACAGTGCCAATGGGAATAAAAAAGGAGGAGAGATATTTGCATGATGAAATAGAAAAAGGAAATATCACAATGGACACCATTGAAATACAGAAGATAATTAGAAACTGTTTTGAAAATTTATACTCTAATAAAATAGAAAATCTTGAAGACATTGACATATTTCTAGAGATACATGAACTACTGAATCAGGAGGATACATACAATTTAAACAGATCATTTTCAAGGAGAGAAATAGAAGATGGAGAAAAGCCTACCAATGGAGAAAAGCCCAGGACTAGATGGATTCTCAGCCAAATTCTACATGACCCTCAAAGAAGAACTAACACTGATATTCCTCAAATTATTCCATGAAATAGAAAAGGATGAAACCCTTCCAAACTCATTCTATAAACCTAATATCACCCTGATTCAAAAACCGAAGACTTATCAAGGAAATAAAACTTCAGACCAATATCCCTGATGAACATAGATGCAAAAGTTCTTAATAATATGCTGGCAAATCACATTCAAAAACATGTTAAAAATATAGTATACCATGATCACCATCCCAGGTGATCATGATTCAAAAACGAAAGTTGGTTCAACATACGGAAATCAACAAATGAAATTCACTCACATCAATAGCTTCAAGACAAGAATCACATGATCATCTCAATAGATGCAAAAAAAAAAAAAAAAGCATTTGAGAAAATACAGCATCCATTCCTGTTCAAAACACTAGAAAAACTAGGGATAGTAGGAACATACCTAAACATTGTAAAAGCTACACATGAGAAACCCAAGGCCAACATTATTCTAAATGGAGAAAAATTGAGAGTATTCTGCATAAAAACTGGAACAGGACAAGAATTCCCTCTTTCACCACTTCTATTCAACATGATCCTGGAAATTCTAGCCAGAGCAATTAGACAGAAGAAAGAAATTAAAGGGAAACAAATAGGAAAAGAACTCAAATTATCCTTATTTGCCGATGACATGTTTCTATATTTAGAAGACCCAGAAATCTCTACCAGAAAACTTCTAGAACTCATAAATAAATTCAGTGAAGCTATAGGATATAAAATTTGCACACATAAAACAATCATATTCTTATACATCAGTGATGAATCACCTGAAAAAGAAATTATGAAAACTATTTCATTCATGACAGCTTCAAAAAAATATTTGGGATTCAATCTAACAAAAGAGGTGGAAGACCTCTAAAATGAAAATTATAGAACACTAAAGATGGAAATGAAAGAAGACTTTAAAAAATGGAAAGATTTCCCATATTCTTGAATAGGCAGAATTAATACTGTCAAAATGGCTATTCTACCAAAAGTGATATACAGATTTAATGCAATTCCTACTAAGGCACCAATGACACTCTTCATAGAAATAGAAAAAGCAGTCATGAAATTCATTTGGAAAAATAACAGACCCAGAATAGTCAAAGAAATCCTCAGCTCGAAAGTGAAGCAGAGGCACCACAATACCAGAACTTATGTTATACTATAGAGCTATAGTAACAAAGATGGCATTGTATTAGCAGACATGAAGAGTAATGGTACAAAATAGAAGACATAGAGACAAATCCACATGAATACAGTTATCTTATACTAGACAAAGGTACCATAAACATACATTGGAGAAAAGATGGCCTCTTCAACAAATGGTGCTGGCAAAACTGGAAAGTCAATATATAACAAAATGAAATTAGAACCCTATATCTCACCCTGCACAAAACTCAACTCAAAGTGGATCAAGGCCCATTAGAACAGACCCTGCACCTACTAGAAGAAAAAGCAGGCCCAAATCTCCATGAAGTTGACTTAAGAACTGAATTCCTCAACAAGACTCCTAAAGTACAATACATGAAATCAAGAATCAATAAATGGGATGGCATCAAACTAAAAAGCTTCTTCACAGCAAAGGAAACAATCAAGAACATGGACAAAGAGCCCAAAGAATGGAAGAAACTCTTTGCCACCTGCACTTCAGATAGAGCATTAATCTCCAGGACATATAAAAAAAATCAAAAACTTAACACCAAAACAAAAAATAACCCAATCAACAAATGGGCTAAGGAACTGAACAGACACTTCACAGGAGAAGAAATACAATCAACCAACAAATATATGAAAAAATATTCAACAACTACTTCAATTAGAGAAATGCAAATCAAAACTATTCTAAGATTTCACTCCTGTCAGAATGGCAATTATCAAGAATACAAGCAACAATAATTGTGGGTGAGGATATAGGAGAAAAAGTACACTCATACATTGTTGGTGGGAATACAAATTGGTGCAACCACTATGGAAAGCAGCATGGAGATTCCTCAGAAAATTTGGAATGGAACCACCTTTTGACCCAGCTATCCCACTCCTCCATTTATACCCAAAGGACTTAAAATCAGCATACTATAGTGATATACCACATCAATGTTTATAGCAGCTCAATTTACAATAGTTAAGCTATGGAACTAACCTAGGTGCCCTTCAACAGATGAATGAATAAAGAAAATATGGTATATATACATGATGAAATATTACTCAGCCATAAAGAAAAATAAAATTATGGCATTTTTTGGTAAATGAATAGAACTGGAGACTATTGTGCTAAGTGAAATAAGCCAATTCCAAAAAACTAAAGGCTGAATGTTCTCTCTGATACATGGATGTTGACTCAAAATAGAGGTGGTTGGGATGGGGGATGAGTGGAAATTCACTGAATTGGATGGGGAGGAGTGGTGGGAAGGGAGTGGGAATGGGAATGGGAAAGACAGTAGAATGAGTCAGACATAATTTTCCTAGGTTCATATATGAATACATGACCAGTATAACTCCACATCATGTACAACCACAAGAATGGGAAATTATACTCCATGTATGTATGATATGTCAAAATACATTCCAATGTCACGTATAACTAAAATAAAATAAAACAATGTTTAAAATAAAACAATGTTTAAACAGTTCCAACAAATACATTTTGAAGGTGCACATTTAACCACAGAATTATAAAAACAGGATTACATGGCCTGGTGTCTGAGTCACATTTTAAAATAGCTTGAGTATCATATCTACCAAGTCCAGCTACATCATAGGAAGAAGAAAAACAATCAAAATGTTAAACTTTCTAAAGCAAGAGGAAGCTGCTCAGTCATGGGGGTTTTCCATGGAATCAGGATTGTCTTGGTATGTGAGATGAGATCTAAGGTCAATTTCACCAGGTCAACTTCTAGGGCCTTCCTCCACTTGTCCACATGAGGAGGGTGCCAAAACCCCAAAAAGAAAGTAGACAAGTGAAAGGCAGTTAGGCAGAGCCTTCCTTCCAGTCAGTTTTGAAGAAAGTGATTGCAAAAATATTCTATCTTCCCTTAAGATCCAGTTCATAAATGCCTTAGTTCTTTCCTGTAGGGTCTATTAAGAAAAGCTGTGTGTGTGTGTGTGTGTGTGTGTTGTGTGTTGTGTGTGTGTGTGTTTGTGCACACATGCTCACATGCCAATATCAAGTAATACGATGGGCAAATTATGTAAGGTGTCAGATGGGATCAGCCACAGGTATTTTAAATAGAGGGAATCTAATGCAGGGAATGGCTGGTGGAACTGAGAAGCCGGATTCGTGGTAATGTGGTAACCCAGAGATTAACAGATGCTGGAAACCACTATCAGCTCCAGGGCAGAAGGCATGAAGAGAAGAGGTGGCATTCCTATATTTCACAGTCTCCTGATGAAAGCTGGAACTACTGCAGGACTGGAGGCTGGGAGGAAACCTGGTCTCTATTACAGATGCCACCCAAGGCAGAGGGGGAGGAGAGAGACCCCGCCTCTTCCTCTGCTCCTGCGTGCCCTCCTGTCTCCTGCCATTGTTCCCAGGGCTGACCCAGCCAGAACTCAGCTGCCAAGGGAGTTTGAGAACTGCAGCCTGCAGGGGTCGGCCCTGTGAAGAAGGTAGTTCTTGGACTGGGAGGAATGAATGGAAAACAGGCACAGGACTGTTACCATGTAAAAATACGTGGTATCATAATTTGGTCTGGCTAGCACAGTATAACCAATTCTAATGCCAACAGATTGTTATACTGCTTTCCATTTCCTCATCCTGGGTCTTGTCTCTTCCTTGCCTTCTTCTCCTTCATTTCTGCTTTTTTCAAGATTTCCTGAAAAAAAGAAGAAGTTGGACTTAATGAAGAAGTCGAACCCTAATATACAGGGACACAGGCTCGTTTCTCAGTTTCAGGATGGAGCCACTTGGTCTGAAGCTAGTGAGTGAGTTGGAAGTAGGGATGGGGAGAGCTGTGTTCACCTGCTGGCTGGGTGACATGAGCCCGGGGAGGCTGACCCAGGAGATAAGCCAGGGGAAAGTCAGTAAGGAAACAGGGTCCAGCAGAGAGGGCTCGATCAAATTGGGAAGAGGATGTGCTTTGTCTTTCCTTTCTAGGTTTCTAGTTCTTCCTGATCTTTCCTTATCCCACACTACCCCCTCTAAACCTCTCCCCAACAGAAACTTAGGAGGTCAGTTGAGCCTGGGTGGGCAGAGTGAGAAGGAGGCCAATGGTAGCCATCATGATAGCAGGAATTGGGGCATTAAAGAAAGTTGTGCCCTGGGCCTATGTACTGTGTGCTTATGATGGTTAATTGTAGTGTCAACTTAGCTGTATTAAGGGGTACCCAGATAGCAGGTAAAGCATTATTTCTAGGTATATCTGTGAGGGTGATTCCAATACAGACCAGCATTTGAATCAGTGCTCTGATAGGGCAGTTCTCTCTTACCAGTGTGGTCGCGTACCATTAGTCAGTTGCAGGCCTAGCTAAAACATTTATTCCTTTTTAGGTGGAGGGAAGGCAAGCTTTCTTTTTCTCTCTTTATTCTGGAGTTGAGACATCCTTATTTTATTGCCCTTGGACATGAGAACTCTAGGATTGCTGGCCTTCAGATTCCAGGACTTGCATGAGTAGCTCTGTGTGTTCTCAAGTCTTTGACCTGGACTAAGAGCTACACCATCTACTTGTCTGGGTTCTAGACCTGATCTCAGACAGTCTACTGGTTTCTCTAGTTCTTCAGTTTGTGGATGGTGTATTGTGGGGCTTCTTAGCCTCCATAATCATTTGGGCCAATTCCCCTAATAAATCCCTCTCTCTCTATTAATCTATCTGTTATGGTTTGGATTTGAGGTGTCTCCCAAAATCTCACGTGTGAGACAATGCAAGAAGGTTCAGTGGAGAAATGATTGGGTTTTAAGAATCTTAACTCAATCAGTGATTTAATCCCCTGAAAGGGATTAATTGAGTAATAACTGAAGTGGTATGGTGTGTCTGGAGGAGGTGGGAATTGGGACATGGCTTTGGGTACATATTTGTATTTGGGTGTGGAGTCTTTCTCTGCTTCCTGATCACCATGATGTGAGCTGCTTTCCTCTGCCACATTCTCCTACCATAATGTTCAGTCTCAAATCAAGCCCTGAAAAATGGAGCCAGCCTTCTATGGACTGAAACCTCTGAAATTGTGAGCCCTCAAATAAACTTTTTCTCCTCTATAATTGTCCTGGTCTGGTCCTTTAGTCACAATAGCAAAAAAAGCTGACTAAAACACTATGTATTACTTATCTACCATCTATAATCTATCTATTGTCTATGTTTGTCAGCTTTCCATTGCTGTGACAAAATACCTTAGAAAAAGCAACTTAAAGGAGGAAATATTTATTTTGGCTCATGGTTTTAGAGGCTTCAGTCCATGGTCTTTTTGCTGTTTCTGGGCCTGAGGTGGAGAGGCATCTTGGTAGAGAGAGCATGGTGGAGCAAAGTTATTCACTTCAAGGTAGCCAGAAACAAAGAGAGAAAGAGAACAGGAAAAAGGGATGGAAATAAGATATATCCTTCAGAGGCATGCCACCAGTGATTTACTTCCTCTAAATAGATCCCACCTTTAAAGCTTCCTCCACCTCCCAATAGTATCACTAGCTGGGGACAAAGCCTTCAACACAATGAGCCTCTGAGAATCTATCTATCCATCTATCTATTATCTATCTATCTATCTATTAATCATCTATACATTTATCCATCCATCTATTGGTTCTGTCACTCTGAAGAACTCTAATACAGCACCCTATTCTCTGGCCATTTGGATTGTAAGTCAGGTCTCTCAAGATCTGAAAATCTATGTCAAGTAGGACATTTCTGTATTGGATAAGAAAACGAGGTCATAAAGCCCTTGATAAGACTTATCAAATGAGGTTGGAGTGGAGAGAAGTTAGAAATTATTTAATTTAGAGCTTCCCAATGAGTTGAATTTGTCGTGCAAAACCAGAGCAGGGTTGGGAGCCAAGGAAGACAGAGAGGAAAGAAATAAAGGCCACTAAGTGATAAGGTTATATAAAGAAAAATAGAAGGGAAAAACATAGCCTAATCCAAAAAGAACACACTTACATCTTTATTTCATGTAATATACTTCCTGATCCCCAAAGAGAATTTCCTACCTTCCCATGCTATGTGATACCAGGCAGATCTAAATCCCTTAGCCCTGACCAGAACAGCTCTCAGAAAAACATCTGTATGGTTTTGCTGACTCTCCTTAACAGAAGGGGCCAGCTCAATGCCTCTAGGGCTTTGTGTAGCTAAGTTGCTGACAGGCTCTGCAAGAAAATGCAAGAGGGTTCTCCTTTTATTACAAATGGGTCTATTCTTCCAGCCTCAGGCTGCAGAGTGTTGTATGAGGGTAACAACAGTTCAAGTTAGGAGTGAGGGGCTTGAGTGGTGAAACCTTAAACTGGACCCTGCACTGGAGAGAGAATCCTTGAAGCAACCAGGGCCTACTCCACTCTTGGCTAACCCCATTGGAAAGTGCTACAGGCAGATCATTTTGTAGAAACTGGCTACTGGAGGAGGGGAGTTGAGTGAGGCCAAACCTGCTCTCTAGGTTACAGTTGAATCCAGAAACAAATTCTGTTCAACAGGAGCAACAAATAAGTGATGAAATAAACCAATCAAGTTCTTTCCTGGAAAATAAGAACTTGTGATGCACCCAGAGAGGAGGAACCTGTCAGGCTTAGCCTGTACCACAAACATCAATTGGTTATTCTTCCAGTTCCTGATTTGGTGTGTTGCTCCTTCCCTGCATGGAAATGCTGGATGCTAGAGGATTGTGCAGATGCTCAGAGACCTTCTCCTGCTGCTTTGGTTCCCTCTGTATACAGAGGCAATTTGGTTGTGAAGCATACTTGCAATTCAGAGCCCCCTAATCTGAGTTTCTTCTTTAAATCCTCCCTGTGAGTTGGTGATCTGATACTGCAGCTTCTTGCAATCACCTTTCCTCTTCCGTGTACTTAGGCCTAACTTGTTAATGTATCTTTGTCAACTTCCAAAACACCATCTTATCTTGAACATCTTAATTGTTTTCTTAGGTGTAACAGCTACAAGGAACTGGAGCAGAAACTCTGTGGAACATTCAAAATCATGCTCTCCAATTAGTGGCAATTTTCAGAGAACCACCGTCTTTCCAACATGGAACCCCCAATTACAATGTGTTCGGCCCAGTCCACTGTCCTGAGTGAGAAGTTAAGCAAAATTCTTCCATCAGCCTGATGTCATCCTCCACCATGCAGATGAGCAAGTGGCTGTGATATTCAGAGGACCTAGATGATTGTTATCTTGACCTAAGTTTGCCTTGATATGACTTAGCCACATGTGCTCTGGAAGAAAAGCAAGAAAGCCAGCAGTAGGAATTGGAGTGATGTGGCCAGAGAAATTGCCTGGTGTGATGTGTTGCTGGCTCCCATACCAATGGATGCTGTAGCATGTGTTCCCTCATGCTTCCTCTTCTTCTTTCCATCAGTAAGGAAAACAAACAAACAAAACTTTTGGCCACATTCATTACCACATACGGATCATATTTTAAGAAATCATTCTAGATCACATGACTAGAAGACTAGTGTTAACAAAGAAATGCCAATTAGGCATAAACAGTAGACTACAGATGGGCCATGAGGTGAGATTCTGAAGTCATTCCATACATTTCCCAGTCCTAAGATTGAGGGGGGAAGAAGAGAGAGAGAGAGAGAGAGAGAGAGAGAGTTGGAAGCAAGCATATTGTTTCAAATGACATTTTTTAACATGAAGAATCTAATTTTCTGGAAGTCTTATTGGTTAGACTTTAAAGGAAGGATTTATGTTCTCATGAATTGTGCAGAAAGGAATTTTAAGAACAGAGAGGCAGTGTGAGACAATGTAGGCCGAGATCATAACTCAGAGACAGAAAGTCTTTCCAGGAGGGATTAGTATACACTGAAAACTCTCCCTGTCACAAGAAAGCACTTCTATGTACTGGAGTTCCCTGGTGAGTATACTTACAGGCATTTATTCACACAATGAATAAATAACCCATTGCTTGCCCTTCCATTGGTAATAATAGAGATCAGATTGGCTGTGTAACCGCACCTTACGGGATTTCCAATATGACCGTGCAAAACAAGGCTTCTCAACGTCATCCTCAGCATTAGTAAATTTTGAACTGGATCATTTATTGTTGGGGTAGGGTCAGAAGGATAGTCCTGTACACTATTAGACATATTTATAGGATTCTAACTAAGCAGCATCATGGCCTGTGCCCATCAAATGCCACTACTACTTGTCTCCCAGTTGTGGCAACAAGATATGGTATCCAGACATTGTCAAATGCACCCTTAGGGACAAATCCCCTCCTTCTTCCTATGTTGAGAACTACTGATGTAGAGGAATGACATCTCTTTTTCTCCAATATTTTCTAACAATTCCTTTAGGTCTTTGGGGAGTTGCAGAGACTACTGGATATGCTAATCACCAGCATGCTAATAGGGGTGGGTAAGTGTTAACCACATGCTGCCTTGAGTTAACCATTCCAGTCTGGACAGAAGAGGTGAAAGGTCATTTAGGCATCAGTCAATTCTACTCCCAGCCCAAGCACCTGGGTTTCCCATGAATAGCCCTAATCCAGTGTGAGTGGGCCAGATCCTGCTGAGGCTGAGAAAATATGAATTCTGGATTAAAAACATTAAAACAACTCTTTGGCAACAGGAGAGACTAGAACAGAGATGAATAATGACACTTCTTCCCTGCAAGAACCCTTCTTATTTTTGTGGCAAAGAAATCTCTGTGTGCTAAGGCAGTGTCATAGTGGGAATTGTTG